GGGAGCTCTGGTGGCCAGTGGTAGGGAGATGTACTATTAACTTTAAGGCATGTGGTTCAGATCCACCAGTTGTTCCCAGGGGGAAAAGATGGGCAATCTTCTGTGAATTTCCTGCCTGTGAAATCCCCTGGAGGATCAATTTTGAGTCAGTTCCTACTTTAAGGTACAGAACAACAACAACAGTCAATAAAAAATTAATTTGAGTATATTTCAAGTCCATTTATACTCAGAATATTCCCCCAAGGCATTTTAAATTAATGTGAATGTTTTCCCAGTTTCAAAGTCTCATTGTTACTAATCTACCATCAGTTATTTTTGCACAGTTTTCTAAAGGTCAGTGTTTTTCCATAGGTGTGTGAATTTCAGTATTTAAGAAGCCTTAAAAGAGTTATGTTTGCCAAAAGTAAATTCCTACAGATTAATCAAAATAATATCAATCTTGTTTGGTTCTGGAAACAAAGTATACGTGACACAAAATATTTAAGTTTTAAATTCTGTGACACCCCAAGGTTGAATTCAGACTATCTTGTGTCAGGGCCAAGAATAACATTATGAAAAAAATTAAGTTGGGTCTTTGGTTTTGAATCATTATTTTAATTTTTAAGTTGTTTTGGGTGCAAGTGTATAGAACAAATTGTTTTTTCATTCAATAGTTCCTTCACATTTGTTTTATAATATTGGTTGCAATTCATTTTATATAACAATATTCTCCTAACTTCCTCCTTCTGGCTACTGTTTTCCTTTATCCTTCTTTCTTATCCCTCTTGCCTTCTTAGCTTTATTTTGGCCAAGTGCTGCCCCTTATAGGTGTTATGGTTGACTGTTCTTTTGGTTTTTTTTCCCCCTGGGTGCTAGGTTGACTGTTCTAATAAGCTTGCACTTCTCAAGCATATTGTTATGCAGCCTTGGGTGAAAGTTGAGCTATATGGCTAAGTTCATTTCCAGGCTTGAAGGATGTCTGAAGGTCATAGTCTCACTAGCTTCCATTAGACTAGTTAGATATGTCAATTTTGTTTATAATTTTGAGTTTTATTGTACATTTTACTCATATTCTATGGAGGATTCTCAAAAACAGGGGCTGTCAGTTGTAGCTGGGTACCATCAAGTTATTCTTGCCTCAGGGTAATGGAAGCTGTGATTTATACCACCTGTTAGGTCTAATGCATTATTGGCAAGAAACTGTGCTGCAATCCTGAAGGCATGTGGTTCAAATCCACCAGTTGGTCTAAGGGAGAAAGATGGGCAATCTCCTCCTGTGTGACTGCCTCTGAAAACCAGCTGAAGGGTCAACTATGGGTCAGTTCCTACTCCATGGAAACCAATAAACAACGAAAAAGCTCAGAAGTTCAGATCCATTGGGTATTTTAGATGACTGCTTACAAGCTATTAAAACCCCAGTCACTACTCACTACAGTAAGAAGTAGAATATTGCCTTTTTGGACTATGTTAATCCAATTGACTTAAATGTCCCCTGAGACATTTTTAAGCTCTCAATTTAAGTGGCTTATTCCACCAAGGTGTTTGGTTATGGCCAAATTGCCTGACCCCTGTATGTTCAACTATCATAGATATATTTCTAGAACATATACACACATATTGGAAGCAGAAGTGGCATCCACTTCCTAAGTAACATGCTTCCGGAAACCCTAATAACTTTGATAAATATCAATAGTTGTAGAGGAGCTGCAAGCCTTTTGTTCATAGGGTTGCTATGAGCCGTGTGTGACTCAAAGGCAATTAACAACAATAACAACAGCATACATATACATGTTGTTGTTGTTGTTGTGTACTATCTAGTCAGAACCAACCCATAGTTGACCCTCCAGTGGGTTTTCAGAGGCGGTTAATTACATGAACGGAGATTGCCCAATAGCTGGCAAACTCGAACTGTGTGCTTTCAGGATTGAAGTGTAGATTCTTACCACTAGGCCACCAGAACCCACTAACACATATACATACATGTGAATAAATAAATGTATTCTGTCTCACTCTTGGTCTGTTTGCATATCTATCTATGTATCTACTCATATGTTATTGGTATTAGAGATTATGTATGCAATAGTGTTTAATTTTGTCATCTTTAATTCACCATAATGTCCCTTAAAATTGTTATGAAGTGTTTTACATATTCATCATTATTCTTTAAAGTTACATCGTATTTCTTTTTGTATAGTTACCACAGTTTATTTATCTGTACCTCCTTTGATGAGCACCTAGGTTGTTTTCATCTTTTTGTTATTGTGAGTAGTTCTTCAAAGAACATGGATATGCATGGGTGTATTGTGTCTCTGATTAGATTTACTCCTAAGTATGCTATCTTCTAGGTGGCTATTTTAAATGGTACAGCTTTCTTCATTTCCTTTCCAGAGTTTTATTAGTGCACAAGAATGTGAATGATTTTTGTTTGTTGATTTTGCTCCATGACACTTTACTGAATCAATCTCTGTATTCCTGTGTTTCTTGTTGAGTCTCTAGGATTTCCTATATAGAGGATAACATCATCTTCAAATACAAATAGTTTTAGTTCTTATTTGCCATTTTGCATGCCTATATTTCTATTTCCTTTTTGTATTTTTTATTTTAATTGTACAGAACAGTTAGATTTTCATTCATTCATTGTTGCACACTTTTGCCACTCTTTCCCTTCCCTCTCCCCCAGTTCACTTTTTTGTATTTTTTTTTTTAATATTGATTCCTGTTACACAGTTACCTCTTTTCCTTATTCCCTCCCCATTCCTTTTTGCAATATAACTCTTAATCTGGGCTATTGTTATACATATAATACCTAATCATATATTCCTTTTGAACAGTTCTTTCTTTCATCTATTCCAGTACAATATTCATTATCTATCCCTCTTATCCTATTCTTCTCCCAAACCCCCATGTCAGACCTGCTTTGTAACATTTGCTGCTATGCAGTATTTGTCCTTTTATGACAGAAATATTTCACTCAGAATAATGTCTTGCAGGTTCATCCATGATATGTTGTGCATTCATTGTTTTTCAGTGCTATGCAGCATTCCATTGTATGAATATGTTATAGATTATTTTAATCGATTCATTTGATGATGGAATACCATTTGGCCCAGGAATGGCACTACTGGGAATATACTCTAAAGAGACCATTTCCACCATCCAAACAGATAAATATACACCCATGTTTATTGCTGCATTTTTTACAATGGCAAAGAGATGGAAGCAACCCAAGTGCATATCTATATTTCTTATAATAAAATGTCTTTTCTTTCTTTATTATTCTGTCTGTGACTTCATTTAGAATTTTCTTCTTAGAATATTTTAGTGTGTTTTTGGTGAACTTTCTGGTGAAAGTTTACATGTAAAATTATATTTCCACTTGAAAATTTCTTTACAAGTGTTCAGTAACATTAGTTAGCTATTTTCATTTTGTTAACATTTTTGGTGTGTTCTAGTGCTTTGCTTCTAGTACTCTATTTTCTTTACCTTATTATTTCCTCGTATTTAATTTAGAGTATTTGCTGACTTTTTTTGTCTCATATAATTAATTTTTAAATGATACTTCAAATTTATGTGAAATATCCATTTGTGTATGTGTGTGGTAAGTGTTATTTTGTTAAAATGTTTTCACGAATTAGTTCCAATTTAAGGTTTAAAGAGTATCTCAAGGCAACACTCTCAGCAACAGTCAGCGATTTGTTTAAGAATATGAATTTTATTTTGCATTTTTCTCTTATCCTAGCAGGTCATCTCATGTGACCTTGATTAAAATGATCAATAGTCATATTCAGGCACTATTCTTTTTTTGGTCTCAGGGCTTGTGTGGTCCGTTAGCTTCGTATGCTATTTTAATCTCTGATATTTGGTTTGTTTTTCTCTCTTTTGCTTCTAACAAGTAAGTAATAGTTGCATCTTAAATAGCTGCTACCAAGCTTTTCACACCAGATGTCTTCATCTCACTAGGGTACAAAATATGAAGTTTGTAGTGCCAATTGGACTGAACTCTCACTTAAGACTAAAGGCTTAATACTTCAAAACCCCAAACCTTAAGAAATATATTTCTTAAAAGAAATGCTGATGACGTAGTGGTTAAGCTTTCGCTGCTAACCGAAAGGCTGGTTTAAACTCGTCATTCACTAAAGGGGAGAATAACGTGGCAGTTTGCTTCTGGTCTTATATATGTTATTACTTTGGCTTGGAATTGACTCAGAGATAATAAGGGGGGGGCTTGGAGTGCAGGAGGATATATAGATTGAAAAACAGAACCATAAGTATGTATGCTATACACAAAATTAATTAAAGTGGATACTGTACAAGTAGAGAGTTGAGGGAGAGGAAGCAACTTAGGAGGAAGATACACTGGCTCCTGTGATTTTGAAATAGTTTTCTTCTTTTCCTCAGTGTAGTACATCGGGATATTTATTGTGCTATTCTATAGAATTATCCACCTGAAATATACCACACTAAATATTGAGAAAATTTATTACATATAATTTGAGACCAAATACAATGATTAAGTTAATCAAGACCGGAGAAAAATGATTAAAAACGAGCCAGGAGTTAAAGATTGTTTTTTTTGGGGGGGGGTTATGTTTTTTTGTAAGTTGTCTTTGAAGTATTTACCTAAGAATAGCTTTTGTGATATTTTGAGAAGTAGCAACATCTTTGTTATTTTTATATGCAGTGTCCCAAGGTTACGACTTGGAAGAGGACAGTGCACGGTTGAATATATATGATGCCCATATTCTCAATTGTGTACTGAAAAATCTTAGATATATTTTCTTCATATAATTCTTATAATTTTACAGAAGGAATGGAGAGATGTGGAAGATGTCCCCAACTGAGACAAGAACTCACCTAATGATTCAAAGATTTTCACCCCCTTTTCAGTATATCATAGACAGAACTTAGTTTAGTATAAGCTTCCTGTTGATTGTTTTTCCCCTCAGCTAGTTAATTTTCTTAGAAGGGATATTTGTGTTTGACTAGCAGCCTCATATAAGAACTATCTCATTTATCACTAGGCACTAGATGAACCAGTCAAGACTGACAGTGTCTCCAAGGACAACCCTTTAGACTCGCCTTTTGAGGTAACGGCTTTAGATCACCCTAACTTTTGGCGTGCAATCCCAAAACTCATTGCTAATCCAGTGCCTGGTTTCAATTTTTCCAGTTCTATTTCCCTGCACAGCTCAGGCAGCAAACTGAAGAGGTCTGTGCTACCATTGATAAGGTCTTACAGGATTCCTTGTCTATGGTAATGCCTTAGACTAGAAAGTGCAATTCAAAACTTTGCTTTGCTTCTCTTCATTTCTCTCTCCTTTAGTACTTGTACCACAGGCTTGTCCTTCTTCTTTCTTTCAGCATTCTTCCGAGTCTCCTTCAAGTTCCTCACAGACGTTTTTGGGTTCTGACACAATCAAAGTATGTGAATATTTAATATAATTCACTGACCTGTTAAGATTTGTTGAACTAATGATGTTATACTACAGGCCAAGATCCATAGTGAGTTGAGATAGTAATTTAAAGCTAGTGATCACCATTTTATAAAAAGAATATAAAATATCAGGGTGTAGTACATTTATTTCAATGTGGTTACATGTGTGTTATATGTAAAGAGAACTAGAAAGTAAAATCTACTTTAAAAAGAGTTTAAAAGTTGATATTATACTATACAGTCATATGGAAGCATTCTAAGAAGATTTCTAAAAATGCATGTGGAATTTGTGGGTTTTTCTCATGTTGAACCATTGTTCATCTCAAATCATTATTTACATAGTTCACCAAGCTTGTTATAAATAAAAACAGACTGAAATAATACTACTCTACACATTTGCACAATGTCATTTTTGAAATTTTTGTTGTCGGTGATTCAGCTTTTTTCCCCAAAATTCTTGTTCTTCCACAAAATACTTTCAAATTGTCTTGTCAGTATGAGAGTCTTCTGGTATAACGTTATCTAGAAAGTAGCTATATAAGTGTATTTATAACATTACATCTACTTTTCTTTTTCATTATGGTTTTAATGAAAGTTTATTAAAAAAGTTGGACTAACATAGGGAATTGAGGGAAGAACAGGAAAAGAGTAGATAGGTAGAATGTTTTCTTTGATGTTAGTTATTTTCACTGTAAGTATAAACGTTTTTCTCTTAAGACTCATGATTTCTGTTCCCTATAACCTTTTATTTGAAATCTTCATTTTTTAAATATAATTTAAAGTTTCTTACATCCTAGATAATTTTAGTTTTTCTTTGCTTTTTTAAAATCTTTATTTCTGAGACTCCAGTCATACTGATTTTACTATTTTTTCCCTTCTGTCTTACACAAATTCTAACCTTTGTATTTTTCTTCTATTTATCACTTCATTCCTTCAGAAGAATTACTTGATCTGGTATGACAGCTAAAAAAAAAATCTATGAATCTCAAGGCCTTTTTTACTTACTGTGAATTTCACTTTCCTCTTTTAGGATACTATGAGTTTTGACAAAAACAGACATTTGTGTAAAGTGTCACAGCATTCAAGTAGAAAACATTCCCATTAATGGAAAGAACTCTTCTGTGCTCTCTTGTTGTTTATTTTCTCCTCCATTATGAGTGTTGAACTTTACTGATCTGTTCTGAGTCTTTATATTTTCGCCTTTTTGAGAGTGTCATACAAGATTAATCTATACTGTTGCATATATACCTGCAGTTTATTTCTGTTTATTGCTGAGTAGTAGTCTACTATGGAGCAGTTCCAAACTCACTACCTGCTCAGTGAGAGAAAAAAGGGCAGTCTCCTGCCATGAAGATTTAAACCTCAGAAACCTGATAGAGGTTCACTGCGGGCAGGAATCAACTTGCTGGTGGTGACTTGTATACCACTGTATTAACTTACCACAATTTATTTGCCTATTCATCATTTTAAGGAAAATTGGGTTGTTTCTAAATTGAAGTTATTGTAAATATAGTGTCAAGAACATTTTAAAATAAAATGAGACTTGGGTTAGACACATGCTTTCATTTTATTGAGAAATGGAATGCTTCCAGCTAATATACTCTTTCACTTCTTTTAGATCTATTTCAGTGTTTTTAATTTTGATCTTATTGAAAAAGATGTCTTCTTTTAAAATTTCGATTGCTAGTATATAGAAAGAGAATTAAATTTTCTATTGATTTTGTATTTATAGGCTCAAAATGTATTAATTTTAGTCATTTTTAAAGTATTTATCGAATTCTATACAGTAGTGAATGGTGATAATGTCATCTATGAATAAAGGCAAATTTACTATGTCCATTGCCATTTGCATTCTTGTTATTCACTAGTACGATATGAATAGAAATAGTGAAAGTGTGTGCTTTTTCTTTTTTCCTGATTGTCGGGAAAAAGTTTTAAATACTAAGTTTAATGTTTGTAATAGGTTTTTCATATTAGCTCTTTATGATTTTGATGAAGTTCCTTTTTACTCTGAGTGTTTTCTTATCTTGTCCTGGAGAGGGTGAAACCAGGCTGCTCCTTGGAGTCAAGGATTCTGAAGCTTCCTCTGACATACTTTGGGCATGTTGCCAGGAGGGACTGGTCCTTGGAGAGGGACATCATATTTGAGAGAATGAAGGGACAGTGCAGGAAAGGAAGACCCTCAATAAGACGGATCGATTCAGTGATTGAGGTAGTGGGAGTAGGTGTGTTGGAGACAGTGAAGTTGACACAGGTTAGAGCAGGGTTTAGGGCTCTTGTACATAGTTTGGCTATGAGTCACAAACTACTTGACTGCACATAAAAATAACAACAACACCACAATTTTAAATGATGACTCTTTATCTTTCTCTATGTATGGTACACAGTAGATACCCTGAAAACATATTTACTGAATAAATGAGCTAAATATATATACATCTCATCTCAGAAAAACATAAAAGTGAATGTATAAGAGAAAAGTTTAGGGTTGCCAGGCAGTATTGAGAGTCTACTTGATCCTGGTAATCAAATAGCTAGCTGGATGAGAGAATTTTCCAGCTATGTGAGATGCCCCTTAGGTGCACATACAGAGCAAATGGGTGGAAAGATCAATTTAATGTTGATTTATTTTTTCAGGTGCATTTGCCATATTATAGAGAGAGATAAGATAATCGAAGTATTCATATAAGTGAGAAAATTAAATCTATTAAAATTAAAAGATAATGAATCCAGAATGGAACTGGAGAAGGTCAATGATTTAGAAGTTCCAGGAAGGCTGAAGAAATGCTTCATGGTACAGAAGAAGAGTTGTCTAGGTTATAAATGACTGTAGCTTCCATCTTGAATATTTGCTTTCTCTTACTTTTATGAGAAAGCTTTATGTTAGCCTTATGTTAAAGATTATGTGACAAAGAATAAAAGCCTCTGTCCAGCTAGAAACTAAATCTTATCAACAATTACTTGAGTGAGTTTGAAGTGGATTCACCAGGCTCAGTTGAGCCCTAAAATGACTGCAATCCAAAATTTTTAGATGATACCAAGAATGCAAACTCTTAAGAGACTTTGATCTAAAATTAGCTACTTTATGCCATTTCCGGATTCCTGATAATTGAGAACTATAAAATACTACATTTTTCTCATGTAAAGCACCCATGTAAATAACATGTCCACACTGTGCATGGAGACCTAATATAGGAGAGATGATGTGATTTTATAAATATAAAATAATCCATTTAATATATGCATTTTGTTGAGTAAAAGTACAGTGATAATAAATATTTGGTGTTTTATGAACCAAAATAAGAGTATCTTTTATATGTGGGCTTTTATGCCTAAACCTAGTAGAGATGACTTAAAGTTCAATGAACAGGACTTTTGTGTCAGAAATTATGGAGATTTTTCATTCAATGAAGACAAAATCTGGAAATGGCCATGAAAGTAGATGATTACAATAATGGGGACAGGAATATCTTTGGAGTTGCTCAATTTAAAGAATTAAGATAGAGACTTTCATGTAAATTTTAAAATGAGCAAAAGCCATTAAACATATGTTGTTGAGGGAAACTTAAGATGTATGATTTGACCTCATAAAAACATAAAGAGACACTATTAGGAAGCTAGTAGATAATGGTTGCTGTCCAGGTGGATATGTTTTATAATGACCCTATGAACAACCCATTTTAACCCTGTCTTATCTTGTGCCATCCTAATCGTCTCTGACACACTTGAGCCCATTGCTGCAGTCACTATGACTGTCCACCTCATTGAGGGTCTCTTTTTTGCTGACTCTCTATCTTTCCTAGCATCATGTCCCCTTCTAGGGACTAGTCTCTGCTATCAACAAGTCCTAAGTATGTGAGATGAAGCTTCACCATCCATGCCTCCAAGGAACATTGTGGTTGCAATTTTTTTCAAGACATCCATTTGTTCTTTCGGCTATCCATGAACAGTGAATGTTCTCCAACACCACAATTCAAAATTAGTAATTCTCAAAGATGATTAATCATTGTCCAGCTCTCAGACAAAAAACAAGTGATTGAAAAGATAATAGCCCGAGTCTTTGTTTTTGAACTAATATCATTACACTTCTGCCCTTTAGAAACGTTCTTTACCATGGACGTGCCCAGTGCAATACATCTCCTGATCTCCTCACTGCTGCTACTAAGAGTACCAGATAAGGGCAGTAAAAGAAAATTAAAGTGGTATAGGTCAATGAAATAATTTTCAAAGGAATGGAGTATTTTACAGGGAAAAAAAAAAAGAAAGTAATGGTTAGCTAGTCTTAAAAGGAAAGGAGATAATCACTTATTAGAGAAGTTAAATTCATTATTATTTTCCTTATTATTTCATCAATAGTGTTGTTTTTTCCCCCCTTATAGATGCCTACAACTTTTCCAAGAGCAGCTGGTAGAGAAACCAAATATGTAAGTACCATTATAATTGTACATACTTCATTTTAAATGGGCAATTGTAGGTTTTGGAGAGAACAAAAGTATATAGTTATTTAAATGGAATTATTTTTTTCTAACTGTAAGCTGTGGTGCTGGAGAAGAGTATTGAGAATACCATGGACTGCTAGGAAAACAAACAGATTTGTCCTGGAGAGGGTTAAACCGGGTGGCTCCTTGGAGGCAAGGATTCTGAGGCTCCGTCTAACTTACTTTGGACATGTTGTGAGGAGAGACCGGTCCTTAGAGAGGGAGGGACATCATGCTTGGGAGGGTGGAGGGACGGCGCAGGAGAGGAAGGCCCTCTATGAGGTGGATTGATTCAGTGACTGGGATAATTGGGATGGGAGTGTCAGAGACAGTGCGATTGGCACAGGACAGAGTGGAGTTTAGGGCTGTTGTACATAGAGTTGCAGGCGACTCGACTTCACATAACAACAACAACAACTGTAAAGTAGAAAGATATTTTAACTGGCTCAGCTGGGAAAAGTCTACTAAGAACTGTCATAACAGGTAAGTTTATTAAATAAATTCCTTATGTGGTGTTTTTATTTGATTCGTTTGACTCAAGGAAACATAATTCAATTTTATATTTTTGGCCTTTCTAATGGACACAGTCAAATGATATTTGCCCTTTTGTTATGGCTTGTTGTTCTCTTTATAAAACCAACAGATAGATATAATACATTGCCAACATTGTTTAATGAAATGAACAGAGTAATGTCCAACTTTGTTGAAAGGAAGGCCTGAATGACTAAAGCAATGCTGAAGAAGAAAATCAAAATAGGATGCCTCACATCTCCTAATCTCAAAATTTATTATAAGACTGTGGTAATCAAAATGGCCTGGACTGGTACAGTGATAGACACATAGATCAAAGGACTAGAATTGACAATCTAGAAGTAAATCCATTCAGCTATGAACAACTGATCTTTGGCAAAAGGTCAAATCTCATTCATTGGAAAAGAAACAGTCTGTTTAACAAATGGTGCTGCCAAATCGGGATATTTATATGGAGAAAAATCATACTTCACGGGATGCAAATATTAACTCAAAATGACTCACAGACTTAACGTTAAAGCTAAAACTATAATGTTCCTGGCAGGGTCAATACTAAGGGACCTCATCTTTACTGTTAATAGCCCATCAAACAAAATTGAAAGTGAATGAACATCGTAAGATAAATTAGACAATTGTGACCTCCTAAAACAATTCAATGAAAAAAAAATGGGAAAGACATGAACACATGCTTCACTGAAGAGGGCTTGAGGTAGCCAACAAATAGATGAAAAGATACTCATAATCATTAGGTTATAGATGCATTTAAGCTGAAACTAAATGAGATAAAAGATTTACCATTCAATGATGGAAGAGAACCTCATGAAAATAGCAAATGCTAGTGAGGTCATGAGGAGTTGGAACTTTTATACATTGTTGATAGCATTCTTAAATGACAAATCACTATGAAAACTTTCTCTAAAAGCTAGAGATAGAGATATATAACTTATGATCCATAATACATTTCCTAAATATATATCTTAGAGATTTAAGTAGTGACATAATAAACATTTTGTTGTTAAGTGCCACTGAGTCTAGTATAACCCATAGAGACCTCACAAACAACACAACTGAACCCTGTCCTATCCTGTGATATCCACATAATCGTTGACACATTTGAGTCCATTGCTGCAGTCACTGTGTCAGTCCATCTCATTGAGAGTTTTCTTCTCTTTTACTGACACTTTCTTAGCATAATTTCCCTTTCCAAGGAATCAATCTCCTAGCAGCATGGCTAGAGTATGTAAGATGAACCTTCAACATCCATGCCTCCTAGGAGCACTCTGGTTTCACCTTATCCAGGATATATCTGTTTGTTTTATGACAGTCTATCTAGCACGCTTTTCCAACATCACAACTAAAAGTCATTGATTCTTCTGTCATTCTTATTCATTGTCCAAGCCTCAGGCACATACCAGGTGATTGGAAAGACTAGGACTTGACGTGGGTACACCGTAGTCTTTAGACTGATGTCACTGGTCTTTAGGACTTTGGAGAGGTCCCTGACAGTAGTCTTTCCCAATGCAATAAGTCTCCTGACTGCTGTTAAAAGGGTGTTGATTGTGGACTTAAGGAAGTGAAATTGTTGACAATCTTTTCTCCATCTATCATGTTTTTTGTCCATTGGAGCAGTAATGAGGAATTCTGTTTTCTCAGTGTTGAGATATAATCCATATTGAAGGCTGTAGTCTTTGGCTTCTGGAATGATTTACTCAGCATACAGATTGAACAGGTATGGAGAAAGGATACATATACTTTTTCTGATTTCAAGCCATGCAGTGTGCCTTTGACACACCCCTTTTCTGATGCCAAACTGTACAGTGTTTCCTTGTTCTGTTTGGACAACAGCTTCTTGGTTTAGGGATAAGTTTTGTGTATGAATAATTAAGTGGTCTGGAATTTTCCCGTTTTCCTCAATGTTAGCCATAGTTTGCTATGATTCACACAAATGCCTTTGTATGGTCAATAACACACAGATAGACATTATTCCAGTGTTCACTACTTTCAGTCAAGATACATTTGATATCATCAATGACATCACTAGTACCACTTCTAAACCTAGACTGAACTTTTGGAAGTTTCTGTTAATGTACTGTTCTAGAAATTTTTTTCCCTATTTTTTTAATTTATTTTGATTTAGCAAGTTTACAGTAAGAATAGGTTGTCATTATTTCTTTTAAATTTTAAACTCATTAATTCATGAAATCCAGTGGTTGTGGTCACATCAGCCTGGTACTGGCATAGTAACAGACATAGATCAATGGAATAGAATCAAGAACCCAGAAATCTACTCATCTGTCTATGGTCTCCTAATTTTTTACAAAGAGATGAAATTAGTTAAGTGGGAAAACTCTAGTCTCTTTAACAAATAGTGCTGGCAAAATTGAAAAACCATCTACAGAAAATTGAAACAAGACCCACAACTCACACCATACACAAAAAATCCAACTCAGTGTGGATCAGTGACCTACGAGTAAAACCAAGGACCTTAAAAATCACCAGAAGAAAACTAGGAACAACTCTAGGAGCCCTAAAACAAAGCATTAACAGACTTTCAACCATAGTGAAATACCTACAAAAATTACAGGATAAAATAGATGAATGGCACCTTCTAAAAAGCAAATGCTTATGAAACTTCATCTGGCATACTTTGAATATAATGTAAGGAAAGACCAATCTTTGGAGGGAGATGTCATGCTTGGGAGAGTGGAGGGACAGCACAAGAAAATAAGACTTTCGATGAGATGGATTGATTCAGTGACTGGGGTAATGGGGGTAGGTGTGTCAGAGATGGTGAAAGTGGCACAGGATAGAGCAGGATATATAGGGCTGTTGTACATAGAGTCGCAAGCAACTCGATGGTACATAACCACAACAATATGCACATCAAAAAACTACTCCAACAAGATCCTAAGGGAACCCACAAACTGGGGCAAAAGATTTGTTCTAGCCATTTTAGATGATGATCTTCAGAAATATTTTCTGACATGTGATATTCTATTTTTCAGTAATTTTTACTTTATGTTGGGTCATTTTTCTTGAGAATGGAAACAAATATGGATATCTTCCAGGCAGGAACCCACATACCTGTCTTCTAAATTTGCTGTTACAGACTGGTGAACATGTTCAGATCTGCATCTCTTAGTTGGAACACACCAAGTGACACAAATTTGTTGCACCATTATTCATACCAGAAAAAAAGGTATAAATAACCTAATTCACAAATTGTTTTACATACATATGCAATGTGCTGTTGAGTCGCTTGCAACTCATAGCAACCCTATGTACAACAACCTTAAACACTGTTCTATCCCTTGCCAATCTTATTGACTCTGACATGCCTATTCCCATTACCCCCATGATGGAATCAATTAATCTCATTGAGGGTCTTCCTCATCTGCACTGTCCCTCCATCCTCCTAAGCATGATGTTCCTCTCCAAGGACTGATCCCGCCTTGCAATATGTCCAAAGTATGTCAGATGGAGCTTCATAATGCTTGCCTCCAAGGAGCAGCTTGGCTTCACCCTCTCCAGGACAAACCTATTTGTTCTCCTAGCAGTCCATGGTATATTCAACATTTTCTCTAGCACCAAAGCTCAAAGGCATGAACTCTCTTTTTATCATCCCTAGTCTCTGTCCAGCTCTCTGACGCATAGCATGCAATTGCAAAGACTATGGCACAGATCAGGTAAAGTTTAATCTCCAACCTGACATCATTGCTCCCCAGCATGCTAGAGGTCTCTGATAGCTGACTTTCCCAATGCAATTTGCCTTTTGATGTCCTGGCTGCTGGTACCAAGAGTGTTGATTGTGGAACCAAGCAAACTAAAGCTGTTAACAATCCCAATCTCTTCACTACGTAATTAGCCTAGTGGTAAGATTATTTGTTTTCTTGATGTTGAGCTTCATTCCGTTTTTAAGGCTGCAGTCCTTGACCTTCTGCAGCACATGCCTCAGGCCGTCCTTTCAGCAAGCAAGGTTGTGTTATTTTCATAATACAGGGTGTTGTTGATGAGTCTTCCTCCAATTCTGATGCCACATTCCTCCTCTTGGAGCCCAATCTCCCGGATTATCTGTTCTGCATATAGATTAAAAAGGTATGGCAGGCAATAGGGCACATCCCTGGTGTACACTCTTCCTGATTTTGAACCATGCAGTGTTTCCTTACTCTTTTCTAAGGACTGCTTCCTGGTCCAAGTATAGATTTCACACAAGCATGGTATCCCTTTTTTCTTAGAACTAGGCACAGTTGTTATATTTTGTAGTTCATACAGTCAAATGCCTTTGCATAGTCAGTGAAACACAGATGGACATTCCTCTGGTACTATCTGCTTTTAGCCAAGATTCTTCTAACATTAGCTACCACAGCCTCTTCTAAACTCAGTCTGTGTATCTAGCAGCTCTCTGTTGTTGTGCT